GTTTCCCAGTGAAGTTGAGTCAGTCAGTTAAAAAACAATATTGTTGAGTGGACTTTTACTAAGAGGGTTCAATCTCTCGTGTGACTAAATCTCTCATTGACCAGCAAATCAATATCGGCAACCATACCACGTCAAAAGCATCGGTTCTCAAAACATTACTGGAATCGGTATGTCGGTGGTTCAATGTTAAAATGCTCACCAACCACACACGTGAGCGTGTTCAATTCCCAGCTTAAGCTGAATTTCTTGAAATTACTGTTTAACTTTTCATCCTGTGATTATCTATTTCATTTCTCGTTGCTAGAACTAAGTAAGAAACTGGAAGCTACCCGTTCCAATTAATCTCAGCCAACAAAAAGAATCACTTCCTCAAGTTCTTTTGAATTTTTCATTTCAATTCATGTATATATATATAGTATTACAAAGTAAGTTTGTCTTCAATTCTGTGACGGCTGACTTAGAATACTGAATACTACTACGTAAACTATTGCGTTTCGTTCGCTATCACTAATTAATCACTTTTTAATGGATATTGAGTCACCTAATCAAAGTGGATCTTTACATCTACTGAGACTACCTCTGAAATTCAATAAAATCTTTGTAGAGTAGTTTAGCTTGGAATGATTCAAGTGGAGGCGATGAAATGGTGGCGTATATCGGGTATAATAATAAGGGTAACCGACTCACTAATTTACGGTTTTTGTTATCCTGGGCACAATTCCAATGGGCTTAACTTCACAAAGAGTTATTAAGTAAGCGTGGCTAGACTAGATGCATTACTTATGTTCTTTATAATCTACTATTTATTCTACGTATTAGTGCTTTAATGATGCCACTTATTCTGGCGTATAAGTCAGGAAAAGACGGCGGAATATCATTTTTGTATGCGTCGGTGGCACAGAGGCAGAATGCTCACCAACCGCGCATATGGTTCGGGGTTCGATCCCCAACCAACGCACTGCTTTACCTCGCCAAGCCAGTTATAAGACTGATAAAGAAGCAAGGTTGGGCACGAGGCTAGCAACCCCATCCCGTAAACACAAAAACCCCTGCAACCGAAACTTCATAGCTCTAGCTTGAAGGTGCTTTATATTCCACTGGGAACGCAAAGGAATAAAAAAGAAATGCCTTTCACCATGATAGGCGTAAAGATTATTATGTAAAAATACCACTACTAACTACATTTCAGCCTGCTAATGTATACATTGGTGACTTCGTGGTCCAAGTGTAGCATAATTATCAGTTACGAGGGCGGCGCCCGCTCAACTCATAAGCGATCCACTGACAGTTTACTAACTGATTGTAAACCCAAAAATCAGAAAAGCCTTGGGCTCTAGATTATTAACTCCACGCTGTAAAAAGCAACACCACCACTAGCGAAACTTCAAAAAGCTTGAGGTCCTATTTTCTATTCCGAATTCAGTGCATGAAAGAAATGTGTACATAGAGAATTAATATCTACAGAAATTAGATAGTGAATAATTATAAACACAATAAACGATCTGATCTGACACTAGACTCAAAGTTTTAAACCATTGCATAATGAAGTAGGAGTCTTTTTATTGAATGTAGATTTATGTTATGTGACACGATAATTTCATTAGATCTAGATGGTTGATTTGAGTAACTGGAAACCACTTATGTCGAACAGTGGTGCTTGCTAACCAGAAGGAAGTGACTCAAACATCAATTGGATATTTGGCGTTACAGCCGAGCTTATCACAGGTGTACCAAAACTGACTCAGATGAGATGACTGAAATTCCCGTCTGTATATATATCCCCACTTAGTCCAAATGCCTATCCATTATGCAGATGATTTAAACTGATTTAACCCACTGGGATGACGTAAATCGGGTACACCTACGATAAGTCCTATCTTAAAAAAGAGAAAAGGCCATCTGGTTATCACATCACATCAACCAAGCACTCATATCAATCAATCCGTAGCACATACTATAATGTTCGACCATGTACAATCAACCATAATAAATTGTTTTGTCACCGACTTAGCATAGATCTGTGCGTGCGATACATGTAAATATATATTAAGATATATATATATATAGTGTACATTTGTCTCATACTTAGGAGGTATACAAAAGCAAATTGTGATGAATTGAACATACTTTGATATTGCTGAGTAACATCACATGCTGAGCAGATCATTGAGTGAAACCTTAATGACAGGCAACGAGTTGAGCAGTGGTCTGAGGGTTACATGAAAGTGATCAACATAGAAGGAAGTGAAAACTTTTGAATAGTGACGTGGCCAGTTGAAAGTGGTGTCACAGAGTCAACTGGAATGGAGATGTGCTGCCAGAGCTCTACGTTTCATTCGGAACCCAAAGGAAAAACTGATGCTTGCTCATCTGCAAACCAATAGTCAAATCACTCAATAGGATTCTAAATACGCCGCTGAACAGTATAGTGTTGCATCTACAAGAGAATGCGCCTCAGTTTGCAGTCATCAGAAACGTCTTCGAGATAATCTGCTGATAAATCTTAAGTGGGAAAAAAACTATAATCATAAAAGGCAATAACTCCTACAATAGTCACCGACCAGAACTTATGAGTAGTATATCGGTGGCATGAATGGTAGATTAAGTTACGAAAATGCGAAATGACAGATCACTTTTAAAATATGAAAGGGAGGATAAAGGAAGAGAGAATACAAACAACCTTTAGAAACAGAAATTCCCTTGTTAAGTGTTTTATATATGTGTTTTTGCCATCAATGTATATCATTCTTGTCAAATAAACCATTCTGCTACCGAATACCATTGTATTCTGTTGTCATAGTAATACTTATAGTAGCAATGATAATAATAGTAGTTTTCATCTCTGGTATATGACGTGTTGTGTGTTATTCCTTTAAGTTGCGAGTGGAACATAAGGCACCTTCAAGCTATAGGCTTGAAGTTTCGGTAGCAGTAGTGACTATTTTTACAGAATGGGGTTGCTAGCCTTATGACCAACCTTCCTTCTTTATCATTTTTATTACTGGCTTGGCAAGGTAAAGGAGTGCGTCAACCGGGGATGGAACCCCAGACCACATGCGTTGTCAGCGAGCACTCTACCGCTGCGCCACCGACGCACCTGGTATATGACGGCTGGTTATAAATGCTAAGTTAATAGCTATGAGTGTTTCATCTTATTTGCAGCACATCAATTGATTTTTCTCATGTTCTGTTCTAAGTTAACACATAATATCAAAGTGATAATTAGTATATTACCGAAATGTCTATTATAGATGCTCATGTGTCGAAATGAACTAATTCATTTCAATATAATATAATAAAACAAAATAAATGTTGATGATAAAATTACACAGGTAAAGCTTTTAGTATTAGTGCTCATTCTACTTATCAATACAATCAGTAGAACTTAAAAGTAAAGCCTTTTATAGTTCAAAAATTACTTCATAACTAAATAACTCATTAATTTCTAGCATTAACTCAAAAGTAGAAGAAAAGGTACTCTCGTCATGAATATAAAGAACACCAGGAGAGATGATTAACAAACTCGTGGGAAAATTTAAAAGCTCACTTCAAAAGCGGAAGTTTGCGCTGAAGATGTTGCGTAGTAGGGCAATGAAAGCCCTTCAAATAAACCATCCAACTCAGAGAACACAACTACATCAAAATCATCCACCTGAGCTACAAATCTTCTCCATCATATCAAACTCTTAAACCTCAAATTTATATGTTGACCAATCTGTAGACAATACTTACCTTGATCTGACTGTAAGATACTACTGATGGATGTAGTAGTCTCCAGTTAATCTTATCAGTCAGTAGTATATATATATGTAGTGTTTTGTCCTCTGTGCATAATTTTTTGATAATCATTTACACAGTATCAAAGCAGACCACACATAGTGACAAATGTGTAATACTGAACCGAAGGAAACTGTACTGGAACTTTACTGTGAACTGTCTGTTCAACAGACATGAAGGACATTGATTTGAGGATATTAGATAATTGGAGGCAATTAGCAGGAAGCCAGTGTGCACTGCAATGGCGACCTTCCTAGAATGGTAGTCACATTGCAAACCTGACTGGTAGAGTTCAGTCTGCACCAAAGAAAGGACTAGATACGCCACACTAGTTACAAGTGTCCAATCAAAGACATGAAGGACGTCAGTTTTCAGACATCGTTCATATATGTAATCATAAAATATGCAGCAGGCTTATTCATGACTGTCAGTGGTTATTGGAATAAGGTATAGATGACGAAAACTGTGTCAACATATTCCTGTGTCATGTACCTAAGAACACACAAGCTGCCAAAAAGATCTTATTTCTTAACCCCCCCCTTCTTTTTCATACCTACAATAAATCTAAGTCCTCACTGACAGTAAACCAGCTCAACTGTGTTCTCTAATCGCCTCCTAAGCTTGATGAAGTAAATTTAAAAACTGTCTATTTTAAAGACTATATTAAATATCATCAACATGCAAGTAATGTTAGGAAAAGATATCTCTTTGCTGACTTTTGCATGCGAAAATAATGTCAATAAAGGGATTTTATAATGTACATGTTCTTAAATCGCATTTTACCTTATTCCTTTGCGTTTCATTTGGACCACCAGGCTTCCTTCTTGTGCTTTAAAGTTTCAGTAGCTGTGGTAATCGAGGTGAAATAGACACACCCTGAAGAAACCTCTAAGTGAAATCATGCACCAGACAGTTTATCGAGTGGAGCCCGAATGGCAAGTGACGAGTTGGAGAGGATTCTGAGAGTGACACGAAGGAGAGAGAAAATGAAAGCTTTAGGACAATCGTGTAGCCATATAACCAAATGGTAACAGAGAACACTGTGAAGTGCAGACGTTCCGATGAAGACCTAAATTACACGCAGAACCCAAGGGAATATTAATTTGAATATTACAAATATTCTCTTATAAAAACACAAATTGACAAATGTAGTCCTACTGCTCACTATATTATGGTATACTATAAGATATAATACAATGAAAAATAAGAAATATTTGCCTTACGTGCATAATTTCCTTTGGTAAAGTGATAATTAACAAGATGTAGAGAATAGCTCTGCAAAAATATATAATCAAAAAGTTGACAAATTAAAACAAAAGGTTTTATGAACATTAATCAAAATAAAGTTGTGTATGATTGTGTATGTGTATATGTTCCTTATCAATTAAACGCAGACGTACACATTTATATTTGTGCACACACGTTCACATATCCCAATGAGTTTGCACAAGGACAATAATTGGATAGTTAGATAGATAGATAGGCATACAGACAGACGAGCAGACAGACAAATAAATAGGTAGATAGATCAAATAGTTTGATTTTATGAGTGATATCACAAGAAAAACGTTTGGAGATCAGGTTTCTTTTGAACGAAGACCTAAAGTTCTCAGAGTTAAAATGACAGATCACGACACCTCAGGTATAAACAAGCATAGAAATCAGAATTTAGGTGGTTGGAACTGATTTGACTCTAAGACTTAAGTCGAAGTGATTACAACACCACTGGTGATATCAGTGGCGGACGAGCGAAACAGGTATGAATGGTGTACAAACCATTTTCATCTGGCCAGCAAGCAAACACTACTTGTTTATAAAAGTTGTACCCAACTACTCATTTCGATCAATCAGTAGTATATGGAGTGGTGCACATGTACACCTTCTGCATCCCACAACCGACTAAAACCAAATATAGGCCGATAATAATAAAAATAAATCATTATTTGATTAAGTTTTTTTTACTTCTAATGAATTCTTTCTTAAATTCATATATAATACTGAACTGTCCCACGACTGCGGAGAGATATATACCTATCTGTATATATGTCCAGACCAAATTCAGCTTTGATAATGTGAAAACAATTGGGCACTGGGTATATGATATCCATTATAATAAACATTTCTTTATTTCCCAATGAACGAAAAACAAAAAGATGTTGCTTCTAGAAGAGAACAGCAGATTAAGCGAAAAAATATATTCCTTTTCAATTAGTTCATCATTGGCTGGCTCTATACTAATGTATAGTTTTCTTTTACATCAAGATGTTTTACCAATCTAGCAGTTATCTTAGTTAGTCAGTTTTAGGTATACGGGAGGGGGGTGAAATTAAGAGTTCAAAGGTCATCAAAACAATTAACTAATAGATGTTGATAACAAGATATCTAAGTTTTAAAGGAAGGGGTGAAAATTAACTACGGAACTCAAAATAAGCTGATTTTCAGACATTAGCAAAAAGTTATAACATAATCAATAGATTTGTAAAGTGATGATGACTAAGAAGAATAGCGTGACTCACATAAATCACGTAAGATGCGAACAAGCTAATAGAATTACAAATGTACTAGGATAATCTGAGCTCATGTTTTTATTTTTATTATTTACTGGATTCTTCTCAACTGGCTAGCTACAACCTGAACAATACCAAAATTATAAATTAAATTGAAGATGTGAACATACTTTTTTACAATGATACTGAGTAATGGATTGGAACTGAGAGTAGCATTGATCAGAAATAATGTATGTTGTCGAATAATTAAGATTGAAAAGGATCGACTATTTATTGAAGAATTGCATGACTAAGCTTGGGAACAAAAGGACAGAGTTCAACAATTGTTTTGTGGGTAGAAATAAAGTTTAACTAGAAAGAGTAAAGAAAGTAATGGATTACATAATCACAGAGTAACACGTTTTTATAAAATCGACAAAATGAGGGGTAGGATGAGTCATGTTTAGGCGAAAAAATTCAAGTTTTCTAAACAGGACAGAAGATGACCAAGTGAAATTTGTATGCTTTATTATCACCAAGGCAGCGCAAGTTTCACCACTGTCTCTTTCTACGTACATAGATTTGGTTTTAGCTGTTTGATTACGATTGCCTCAGCAAACGAAGCAGACTACGTTTCCTCTGTCTGTTGATTATTTTTGAACGACTTCAGGTTGTTCACAACATGGCCAGTGTCTGGTAGATGGCGTGCAATTGCACTGTTCAATGCTTGTGGCTATTTAATCTCAGGCTCTTTGGTATGTGTTCAGCGATGCGGACAATTACTCTTCTCTCTATTCTCCCAGTGTATGTGACTTGGCACGTACATGTAAATTGGTAGAGGCAGTTGGAGGTAACATGAGATTGGAGCCGAAGCAATTTCTATCAAACGCTTGAAACTAGGTTTACGTGTTCAGAAAGAAGCAGTTATTAGTCTTTCCTTGCTCTGGTAACTGAATGTCTTTATTCTTTTTCATTTGATTACGTAATCTTTGGCTTCAACCTCACCCCTTTGACACAGTGTAATTTTGCTTGTCAGTAGCATAGTGGTTAGAACGCTCGCCGACCATGCACATGGTCCAGGGTTTGAACCTCGGCCGATGCACTCCTTTAACTCGCTAAGCCAGAAATAATGCTGGTGAAGAGTAAAGGTTGTGCATGAGGCTAGCAACCCCATTCTGTAAAATAAACACTGCTACAGAAACTTCAAGCCTCTAGCTTGAAGCCCTATGTTCCACTGGGGAAAGTGAAGGAAAAAAGTTTTTGCTTGTCTCTTCTTTCTATAATTTGAGTTGAACTCAGTATATTGCTGCCTAATTTATTAGTCACTGAGCATCTTACGCATCACTCGTCTTTATTACGTAACTCCTCTATCATTGTTTGCATACATTTATTTTGTTTAAACTTGAACTGTCTGTGTGAAAACTATATAGGCGCAATTTCCTGAGCACTGTTCACTAATTGCGGAACTTTCTGTTAACTGACATCATAAAAAATCTGCAAGTAAGTTAAAACATTTCTGTACATAAACCTCTTAATTTATTTATGCTGTTAGCAGCTGATTAGAAGCCAACGAAATAAATGATGGTACCATACTATTCTGCACAAAACACTGTTGTTCTTGTTACGTTCAAATTCATCAAGGGGAATATATGCATGAAGATTGGAGTTTGTCTACTTTTGACTGTCTTAAATAACAGTTCGCTTGATAAATAGATACATGTTTGGCAGCTGGATATGTTGTTTCCAGGGTGGCGTTCAGTCTGCATCTTATCGTGCTAGCAGCATCATCAAATTTGAAGGCAAGCTGTAGAAAGACGGCTTTTTTCACTTCTGTGCAGTACTTCACCTTCTCAAGACTACGTTTTCCATGTTTGTCGATGAACTTCTGTGGGTTACCATTATCACGCAAACATTTTTCATCAGTGGGTAGTTCTTTCCCCACTTTTTCTTCTGAACAAAGTTTCCTTACACGATCAAACAGTGTTCTTACCAATACCTCTTTGTAACTCATAGGTGAGAAGATTTTGAAGTTCAGGTTTTTGGCTCTCCACGTCTCTTTTCTATTGATAGGACTCATGATTTCACCATCTTTATCATGTTCGATATCAGGGTCCAAAAATGAAACTTGTCCTCATCTTCGCAATCAATTGTAAACTTTATATTACTATGAGCACTAAACAGGACGTTTAACATTTGAGATGCGTCATTGTTGAACTCTGTCCTTTTGTTCCCAAGCTTAGTCACACAATTCTTCAATAAATAGTCGATCTTTTTCACTCTTAATTATTCATCAGCTTACATTATTTCTGATCAATGTTACTCTCAGTTCCAATCCATTACTCAGTATAATTGCAAAAAAGTATGTTCACATCTTTACTTTGATTTATAACTTCGATATTGTTTAGGTTGTAACCAGTTGAGAAGAATCCAGTAAATAATAATAATAAAAACATGAGCTCAGATTATCCTGGTACATTTTTCGTTTTTACCTTATTCCGATTTATTGTTAGAATCAGCTGGAATTGTAAAAATTAACAAAGTCAAGAGATAGTTTGTATGGGGAGGGGAAAAACTCGTTTTCAAAAACTTAATACATATTATATAGTTGGCCATGGCAAAGAAAGAGGCTGTGCACATTTCTTTTGAACACGCAGTTTCGGCTTGTTCAGATGAATTCCCATTATATCTGATGTATGTAAAAGTCGTACTCGTAGACCATGCTGGAGGTTTGGTGATTAATTTTTAATTAATTTTCATTTTTGATTACAGCTTGATGCCACACTGTATTTTCAGTAGAAGTATGGAATTTTCAGCATGGATATCGGTGGTCCAAATTTTGCAGGCCGACCATAGATATCGGGTGTCCGTCGGCAGGGGATTGAACCCTGGACCATGTGCATGGTCGGCGATAGTCCTAACCACTGTGCCACCACCGCACACTATATCTTAGCTGTATAGAAAGTCTTTCTGAAGGCCATTCTCAGACGTTGTGATAAGAACTCTCTACTGACACCACCCGTGAATTGTACCTTTAGAAGGATTGACTTTTTGGGGACAGTTGGCTACTTCGACTTTTTACTTTCTGAGCTCATGTGTTTGTTTATGAATTTAGTTAGATATCCGTTTCTACTCAGTAGATCGCGAATATTACTGAGTTCTTCGTTCAGTGTCCCATTTGAACAGATAACTCTAGCTCAGTGAACCAAACATCTAACCAGATTACGTTTGTATTCTATAGGTACTAAACTCAGGAAGTGAGTATAGTGTCCATTTGTAGTAGATTTCCTGCGCAAACGCCTACATATCGATGCGTCTGTTGGTTTAGTCATTACAAGGTCCAAAATGGAGACAGAGTCATTTCCTTCTTCTTCTTTAGTGAAGCTTATGCTAGGATGTGCTCTATGGGATTTATGCAATATGTCCTTAGTCTCACTCTTTTTCTTAACAACTATAAATGTATCATCGACATCCCGCAATAGAAATCGAGATTATATATTACATCTTTAAGAGGACCATTCTCTAGTTTTGCTAGGAAAAATTCTGCTAGGATTGAGCCTAGTGGTGATCCCGTGGCAACACCATCTGATTGTCTATACACTTCTCTATTGAACAGGAAGTTTACGTTCATTGTACACCTTAGACGAAGTTCCTTTAGAGCAGACACAGCAATTCCAATATCCATACCTTGCTTTATCAATTTATTATCCATGTAATCAATTGTTTTCATCAAAGTCACATTAGTGAATAAGGAAGATACATCCAGTGATATCACATGTTTGTCCTTCACATTTAATTCCTTGATTGTTTCTATGATCTCAAAATCATCCTTTACTCTATCTTTCACAAGTTTCTTATGTGAAGGGTTGTATAACTTCCACGAGCCATTTTTCCATTGAACCGTTAAGTGCGCTAGACAAATCAAGGACTGGTCTAATTGGCAAACCACTTTTTGTGAATCCTCAGTAAGCCGATAACCTGCGTGTTGCCGTGCCGACAAGTTTCAGTGTTTCATACAAGGCAAGTGAAATATGGTCTTGTAGTTTCAACTTTTTTAAAGACTCTCTTAACTGTACCTCATTCCTCTCCGTTGTATCTTTGTTGGTTGATAGTTTCTGAAATTTGTGTGCATCACTTATTAAAGTTTCCACTCTGATAAGGTAATGAGACTTATCTGCGACAATGACTTATGAGCCTTTGTCAGGTCTGGAGATCGCTATTTTCTCATTTGCTTTCAATATCTTTAAAGTCTCTTGATGCCTTTTGGTTAAAATACCCTTTGTGTTACCTATACTATTCATGTATTTGTAACAACAATCGATGTTTTGTTTACTGACGTTTTGCTATTTATTGCTGCTAGCAGCTTTACCATATTAGTAATATTAGACCAGGACTTACGAAATCTCAGCTTATATACAGTAGCTTAATCATCCTTCTTCAGCATAAGGTAATTTTTGCGTTGTCAAAATGGGTGAATTGGTAAAGATAACAAAGCCATGTGTAGACTGTTAAATTTGATAAACGTATGAAATTATAAAAACAATCTTTGGTAACAATGAAATTGCTTATCACATATGTGTTGATTTTATCACTTCATGAGGCTGAGGTGTTGGAGCCAGGTCAAAGTGTACCTGAGCCCGTCATTAATAACCAGACAATTTGGATTCCATCCGATTTAAAGTGCTTCTGATATTAGACGTACTTTGTGACTTCTGAATGTTTTCTGGATGATTTCACTATTGTCAAAATCAATTTTGTGGCCTGATTTTATGGGTGATGATTTTTCAAGCTTTTCTTGTTCAATTGGATTTCTTGATGGTCGAAAAGATATCCCCTTCTTCTAATCTTTATTTCTCTCTAGCTCCTTCAAATGTATGTCGCATCGCATTCCAAGCACTTTATTTTGTAGAAACAATTAGATCGTGAACCCCTCGAAATTCAGTCTTTTACCTGAACAGGGTTGTTTTGTAATGTGTTGAATGTTCTGAAGAAGACTCTGGTGTTTCGCTCATTGAGTATTCTTCTTCTGATTTTGTCTGACATTTCTCATGTGTATGGAATGACAACTGTTGAGGCTCACGTCTTTGGAATAAGTTTTAGAACATTTTTAATGTCAGTGCTGATTTGGTTAATGAAGTACTCTAAGTAATTTTCCTTGAGAATTTCAGTAATGTTTGATATTTCTTCTTCTTTTTCCTTCTCATCGGTTATCAAAGAGTGTGTCTGTCTAAGAAGACGTGAAATAACTGATACTTTTACGCTGATGGAGTTTGATGACCTGAAGTCTAAATAATTTGCTGGAGTGGGTTTTCTTTCTGAATACAAATATATTAAAATTTCTGTTTTCCCTCCTCTTAACTAGGCAGTCTAGAAATGGTAGTTCACCGAAGTCTGATTCTGCTTCCGAAGTAAACTGGATTCTGGGAGTTATACAGTTTATTTTCTCCAAGAATGAACTGTTTGGATCTCGTTGTAGCATAACAAAAGTATCATCAAGGTATGCAGCACATAATCATTAGTCATGTTAATGAACAGATCGGCCCATTGATTCATCGTCTTACACCAAAGTATATTGACTTAGTCAAAGTTGCACGATCTAAGGATTCAGAAATGTGTTTGATGAAAAATCTACAAAGTTTAACTGATGCTGGTAAATGTAATATATGCAAAAATGATATAATAATAATAATAAAACTACAACAGTTACCAGAAGCTACGATCCGATTAAATTTGAAAATCAAATTGATTGGTTGAAAAATAACATTTCATTTGATTTATTTTCAATGCCTACTAGTAATGATATCAGTAGTCATGAGAACAACGAGGCAACGAAATGTGAAGGCAAAAAATGCGAGTCACAAATACAGAGAGGTTGTAAAATTATTGAAGACTATAAACAAATTAAAGTTGGAATTCAAAATATTCGCAGCAGAAAATATTTAAGATAAGCCTGTGTATATGTGTATGATCCTCTTACAAATTCTTTTGTATACATCCGATTAGCATTAAACATTGTTATGTGGAGTTTCGGAGGGCAGTTACACATGTCATGTGATACAATAGACTTGATCAGGATATCAATTCATCTATGGGTATATCATCAAACTTATATGATTAGGAGCAATAAATTGTGCTCGAAAAGCCATGAATAAGTAGCACTGCATCACTATGTGCTTCTATCAAATACATTTTTCTGTGATTAAATATAAATAATTTTTGTACATTCAAAAAGCTTGTTGGAATTTCGTCCACAATATCTTGTATTTTACTGTTATTATTGTTCCTTTGGGTTCCAACTGGAACAAGCGGCTTCACCAACACATCGCCTCCAATTTGTCCTATTTTTCGTGGTCCTCTTTAGTTGGGACTACATCTGTCCATAGGCTCTCACATCGCCTCCTCACACGATATTCTCTATGCCACCCTTGCAACGATAACACACTCGTCTCTTTCGATTTGGGTTCCACTAAAGCGATGGCTGGGCGCGCGATGTTATTGGATGATCTCCTAAGCGTGTGTTCGATCAGTCTCCATTTTCTTCTAGAAATTTGTTGAGCAGTCGGCTCATGATTGGTTCGTTCCCAGAGTTTCTTGTTGCTAATTACATTTTGCCACTTGTTTTTCAATATTGAGCCAGCGAAGTGGGCAGCTGTTGATAAATGTCTGCAGCGGCCTGTCGGAAATTCACTTCTTAGTGTCCAAGCCAAGTTACCGACGCATACAGAAGAGCTGACTGACTAAACATTTGTGTTGGAAACCCGAATCTTGTTGTTTATAGCGTAGAGTGCAGAAGATTTTCAAAGTGATTTCAGATTGATGAAGATATACTTTGCCTTTTCGATTCTGGCTGGCCAGCTGTGACGTCTTTATCCATTCCAATAGCTATGGTTAAAACAATATTTCTTAGCTAAGGGAAGGAAGTAACCCCATGTGATTGTGATTTGTGCTGGTTGTTATTGCTGTTGGTGGTGGTTGGTTATCTTTAACACCACCGTCTTCTCTGTTTTCACTTGGAGTCCTGTCTTCGCTACTATCCTCTTCGCCTGCAAGTCTTCGAGTTTGTGTGACATTAAGCATAAATCATGCACGTGTGGAATCCATATCCTCTAGAGTCTTCTTAATGGTACAGAGAATTTCCGTCTTCTCACTTCCAGCTCACAGTCTGCCGCATAATCCAGTCCACTACGATTAGAAATATCATAGGTGATGGTAGGCAGCCAACTTGGCTTACTCTTGTATTCACTTCAATCACCTCACTGAATTTTCCGTTGTGGATCATCTGGCATGTGCCATTGTTATATTTAGAGGTGGTCTATTTATCAGTATTCATTGAAATGTTCCATTCTTTGAAAATGAAATTAATATACGTGTAAACTTTGGGCATTAAGGTAGTATGTCATTCCACATTAATTTGTTTATTGAGTATATCAAAAATACTGTGACATAATATTACTTACGGCATGACTAAGTTTTGAACAGAATTTATTGTTCATAGTCATATCATCAGTTGTAACTAGACGTAACTTCGAAACCTGATTGTTATGGTTCTGTTTATTCTTTCGTTTTTTTCGTAGGAGTGGTAGAGTTTTCCGGATATCCGGGGCAGGTGTAAATCATTTCTGTGACAAGGATTCCCCTCTGATTTGATAAATATAGCTTCACGACTGTCACCTTGTCCTATCTTATTGCATGCTTTTCTGTAATTACATGTAGTGCTACAGTAACGGTAGGAGACAAAGACTTGGTAAAGGAATATTTATCTGGAAATTGATATCTCTATATCGTCAAATTATGTACACTTAGTCTTCAACGCACAATTTGTACAGACCTTCGTGTTGTGGAACTTTTGGCCTTCATATTGTGTTTCTCTGTGTTCGTTTCACGTCTCCCAATTATCTCCACAACGCTGTAACACTTGCCTTCTCTGACATCAAGTGTATCTCCTTGATAGTTAATATTTTTATGCAGATGAACGTCTCTTCATATATTAGCGATAAATCTTACCAGAAGCACTCGCCACTACAGCTAAGTTATTTTCTAGATTTCTTGTTTACATTATGCTATGTTTTTATGCTCCACTCGTTTAATTGACCTAATTCTGCTGCTTTGGTCTATATACTTGACTTCATAGTCATTTCAGGGTACTAGATAAACCAGATTATTTTGTTTGACCGACTCCACTGGATCCTTTAACCCACACAGTTTCTTTCTAAGTGCGTTTTTATGCTTGAATGTCACTTTTATCCCTGCCTAGTTGAGAATCCTGAATAAGATTTTAAAACAGAACGCGCACAAAAAGAAGGAAATAACAACCGTCCCATGTATCTCTTATGGCAAATGGAGAGGAAGAATGTAGACTACAAAAATAAAGTTTTGAAGTTGTGTAGTCACAACTCATGGTATGATTATGAATAAAATGTTGTACTTAAAACTGCATTGATGATATACTCAATAAACAAATTTATATGGAATTAAAGATTGAAAATTTCATAAAATTTCACTTGTAAACAATACAGTTCTAACTCTAATTTATTATATAATGTCAGCTGGAGAAATCATTGAAAACAAGGGAGTAGTGTACATATGTTTCATCCTGCCTTGCGACTCCTCACCAGTGCACACACATGACCCCATTAAGAATGGAATCCAGGACTTTCAAGTTACGTGACCAAGCTCGTTGAACCTTCTACCACTTGGGCCGGAATTCGGCAACTCATGGATTCTAACTTTATCAACTCGTAAGAGAGGTCTACCCTCACCATTATCTTTGATGATCATCCAACTAATCTTGACATGGTGGACTCCACTGGCCACAACTGTTCATTATATCTCCATAATCCAAATATGAGTCGTTAGCTCACTAACGGCTACTGCATAGATATCCTGAAGCCCCAGTGGGGAGTCATAACCAGTGGAGTCCACCATGTCAAGATTAAGTGGTGAGGTTAGATCTATATTACGAAATGAATCTCTTCTTGACATCAAGCATACGACAGGCATGTTGAATGCTGGCATTTACCGGCAAAACACATTTGTATCATGTGTGGACAAAACTCAAATCCATTTGCAGAATTTGTAAATAAATTCCACCTACAGCATATACCATGTCAACTGTGACGGAGGGGGGAATATAAAAGCATGAAATCCCCAAAATAGTGGATGCTGCTAACATATTACTCAAAGTCAATAAGTGTGAGTTGAAAGCTAATTTTAATGAAAAGGGGATCAATGAGAAAAATTAAGGGCTATCTATATAACAAGAAATTGTTGACTCGAATGTTTTCTCAGTGTTTTAGTCTAGAGGTGAAATTAGAGATGCGTTTTGAAGCTTTCTTTTCTCAGTTTCTTCCCACGTCCCCCGATAGGTTAAACACAGCGCGTAAATTGATACATTAAGTTGAAAGCACCGGAATTTTCCTAGTTTTATCCTATAATATTTCAACTTCGTACATGCATATCGATTGCAACTTTCAATTGGTTAGATTTGAAATAATAAAAAAAATTAGAAACCATAAACACCAAGTACCAATCCACTTTTAAGTCAACTTTTGCTTCTGTTTACCAAAGGCGTGTAACAGTCAATTACTGAGTGACGCAGAAGACGATGACGAAGTTGATAGAACTACGAAGAACTGGTTTCTTAATGCAAAACGTATTTTAAAACAGTTAATGATAGAAAAGAATAAGGAATTGGAATGTTCAACTAGATGAGAATTTTTATAAGATTAGAAACAAGGCTGCTGATTTTGAAACTAGGGTAGAATAAGAGACTGGAAAAACGTTTTCTGCACACAGTGTTCAGTGTAATATTGACAAATCGCTAGCGTCAACAAAGCTGCTTGTACATATTCACGATCAAAAATAAATAGCACACATGACTGATATGTTGCCATCATTCCTCCTGGACTTGAGCGCCAGCTACACTAAACGCTGTCCTTAACACCATCTCAACTAGCAAGGACAGCATGTAACACCTATGTCTGCTGAAAGATATATTTGTTGACGATGATTTGAAAAGAGAGTGTATAAGTAGATAATCAAACCACAACGAAGCTGTCAAGCTCTTCTCCCTTAAAGTTATATTGACCATGGTGTGCTTCAGTCAGCAAGGATAAACAAATTATTCTTGATGGCTCAATTAAGGTGACGCACTTCTTTTATACTTACATGCCACTTGTACCATTTCGCCTTGCGTTGTCGACAATATGGCAAAGAGACTCTCATGAAGTTGCATATCCTGAGTTCGCTGTGTGATTGAGAATCTGAGGAAAGCATGAAAGACTAGACTTGCAGTATAAAACATTTTCATCAGTTTGACTTCATTAATCCTCATTAGCCGCCCACCACCGAAAATGACGCTGGCTTGTGAAAGAATGAAAATAACATTCAAAATGTAGAAGCAGTTTCAGCAGAATATTTGTTAACTAGACAATCCTCAATCCAGAATAGTGCGAATGTCAACATCGTGACCTCGAGCTGAAGTCATCAACAACTTTCATGCATTTAGTAAGTGTACAGATGAATTTGGAGAATGATAGGGAAGACAAAGAAAACAGATAGCAAGTGTGACAAGTGTGATCATTGATACTAGCTTGTGAAACTGCATAGTGTATGGAAAATTTGAAACCGTAGGATTGAAAGCGAATTGGTGAGCTGACACTAACTTTATTGATGACTCAGTCAACACAGTGAAAATCGAAATGACTCCACTAAACTCAGTGAGAGACTAATGACACTCTCACGCCTTCAGTATGCATAAGTTCAGTTGAGAATGTTTGACTGGAACTGCTTCTTTCAATTTTTCATGTGATTCATTTCCATTCTACTGAGCGCCTTATAGCCTTTGCATGATTTCGAATAACATGACTGAAACAATATTAGAATGGAAATCTCGTAGTCAGACTAATCAAATAGAAGATTACTCAGATTGATACTGTGTTCATCTAAC